CTCTACTACCCATCTACTATTTCCTCCTCTCTACTATCCATCTACTACTCCATCCCCTCTACTATCCATCTACTGCTCCACCTCTACTATCCATCTGTTTCACCTCTTCCATCCCCACTCCCACCTCTACATTTACTGCTCCACCTCTCCACTACTATCCGTCTACTGCTCCACCTCCACTATCCATCTACTACTCCACCTCTACTCTACTATCCATCTCTGTACTATTTCACTCTACTACCCATCTCTTCTGCTCACCCATCCCCTCTACTATCCATGCTCCACCTCTACTCCACCTCCACTATCCCATCCCCTCTACATTTACTGCCTCTACTATCCTGCTCTACTGCTCCACCTCCACTATCCGTCTACTGCTCCACCTCCACTATCCATCTACTGCTCCACCTCTACTACCCATCTCCTCCACCTCTACTACCCATCTGGAACCCATCTATTCCACTCTACAAAACCTCTACTACCATCTCCTCCACCTGACTTCCCACCCCTACCACCAACATACTCCACTCTACTACCCTGATAGCCCCTGCACCTATGGGATACTGCCTGAAACATGCCCCATGAAGACCAAGTCTAAATATGCTACTTTAGCCTAGAATCTATGTAATTAAATCCTCCATGAAACAATCAGCACACAGAAATATTACCCTTCCTCAACCCTTCCGTACCCACGGTAACAAGAGAAAATCATCACTCCCACATAATTTGCAACTCACTTGACAGATTTACGAGGGGGAAGATTAGCTACTTTTTTATTTTTATCAATAACCCATCATTAAAGCAATGATTTTAGTTTCGTCTCAATCTAATTAATTTTTATAGGAGAGAGTATCGGCACAACAGCCCGACAAGGTGCGTGGAGGACTGTAGCTGCGATCCCTAGGGAAGGAGAGAGTGGTGTTGTGGTTATCAGGGGAGGAACGTATAGCGCTGTACTGGATGAGTGGAGCATGCTGTGGTGGTACTGATGGGGTGGTGTGGGAGAAGAGGGCAATGAGGCAGCACTAGAGAGTAGGAGCACTTCCCCTTCTTGGGGGTGGGGGTAGGGTGGGAGAAGAACATAATGACTACTGATTGGGGAAGTGTGTCTTGTGATACTTTAAGGAGGGAAAGGGAATGGGGGGGGTGAGTGCACAGCGCTATCGTTCTAGGGGGATGGAAAGTTCACATTACTGTGATGCTGCCCGCTGCCGTTGGGGGGTTGGGGAGAAGAAAAGTGCACTGTGTAGAGGCACTGGAGGAAGAACTCACTGTCAACCAGATACCACCCACCTGGTATCTCCTGAGTCTTTCTATTTACACCTCTCAATGTCTGCAATGCTACCTGATAAATGCTGTGTCCGATCAGAATCCAACCACTCTAGGTTGTTATTACTTTATCTAAGACTTATTTTCATTCGCTAGTATTGAGATTTGTTGAATAACAATAGGAGGAATAATGAAAACTGAAAATGTGTTTCATTGCTTCCTTGTTAAAGCATGCTTTGGGGCCAGATCTTTTGTTTAAAATATGTAATTTTTTAAATGAACGTTAAAAAAACCCCAATAAAATATCCCTTTACAGATACATCTTTTTCATTAAAAACTAACATTTAGTTGTTGTGTATGTAAATTTAATCAAACAACGCATTGCCAAAGTCTGATTGGCAGTGTGAACTCAGAGCTTCTTCACTAACATACATGTGAGGCCATATCTTTTTCAAATGGTCAGCTCACCAAACAAATTTTTATAACAAAACCATTCAATCAATTTTACTAACATCCCTTTCAGTGAGATATTGTCTTTGGTTAAAAATACATTAGAAATACAATATCTCCAATCACATTTTAAAATGAAAGTCTTACTCAAGGAAGATGTTTTTAATTTGCTCACCAAAGCCTCTGTACTTCTCTCAGATCTACTAATGAAATAAATCCTGTGAGCACAATTACATAGAACTGTGGTCTACTTTCAAAACCTTGAAAATCAATATCCAAACAAACATAAAATCAATATAAACTCAAGTTTACCACAAAGATGAACTTGTTAGAGTGAGTGAGTGAGTTTGGTTTTACGCCGCTTTTAGCAATATTCCAGCAATATCACGGCAGGGGACACCAGAAATGAGCTTCACACATGAACTTGTTAGAACAAGACATTTTAAGGGATTAATGATTTAAAACACAAACGAGCATCACAATGCAATCAAGTCAAGACTGATAAACACATGCTTTGGACAGTGTTATTAGTGACCTTCACCAAACAGTAGCCAAGGTCATCAGTGAATTGTGAGTGATTTTTTAGTTGGTAAGTGAGGTTTTCATTTGGTGATTTGTTTGAGTTAGTGAGTGAGGTTTTATGCTTAAGTAATATTCCATCAAATCAGTAAAGGCATATAAGACATGAACTTCACACTCTGATCCCATTTTAGAATTTAACCCTTCCACATCAGAAGAAAACCGCGGCCATTGGCTTGACATGCTTTTAACCACTAGGCTACCCAAATGTCCCCTTTAAGGACATATTGTATAAAAATGTTTTAATGTCTACACCAAGACAATTGTTTCCTCATACAACATTTATATATTTTCAAACATATTTTACAACAACAAAAATATACTTCTAATAAGTTGCCATTTACCATTTTGGAGTGCTACTGACTCTCTGGAAGGAACATAATCCAGTCTGTTGTATCTGTACAGGGCTTAGGCTCCTAAAACTGTTTCACTTTTTTAGCTCTATTGGGTGTTACAAAAAGGATCCCTAATTAAGTCTATATGTAAGGAAGTCTACATGACTGTAGTGAAATCAGTTTGGTAAAGTATCGACGACACAAAACCTTTTGAAATTTCTTTTTCAGATTTCATGCATTGTGTTCCTTTTTCTCACAGAGACAGATTGTTAGTTTTGTAGTAATATGGAGCAGTTGTTGAAACATCAGCATCAGTGTGTTAAACATGGTTGGTGCCAGAAGAGTTACAAAGGTGATTCAGCAAGACACTGCAGGCTACAGCAGGCCACAGCAGGCTACAGCAATACACAGCAGGCACAGCAGGCATAGTAGGGCTGCAGGGGCATTTTCGGCACAGGTACTACAACTATGCATCCCAGGTACGTTTCTATATACAAAAATGTTCCCTAACCAAAATTAGAATACAAATAGTACCCACTGATGCGTCCATTCCTCAATGTGCAGTGTGTTTATAAAGGTCCTTGTTACCAGACACAGAAAAATTCAAATTTCATACTGTTGTATGAAAGGCTTTCAAATGAGCCTTAATAAAAATAAACGGGCATCTTCAATGATGTACATTAATACTCTTATATTCCGCTTAGGCTTAGGCTCCTAAAACTGTTTCACTTTTTTAGCTCTATTGGGTGTTACAAAAAGGATCCCTAATTAAGTCTATATGTAAGGAAGTCTACATGACTGTAGTGAAATCAGTTTGGTAAAGTATCGACGACACAAAACCTTTTGAAATTTCTTTTTCAGATTTCATGCATTGTGTTCCTTTTTCTCACAGAGACAGATTGTTAGTTTTGTAGTAATATGGAGCAGTTGTTGAAACATCAGCATCAGTGTGTTAAACATGGTTGGTGCCAGAAGAGTTACAGAGGTGATTCAGCAAGACACTGCAGGCTACAGCAGGCCACAGCAGGCTACAGCAATACACAGCAGGCACAGCAGGCATAGTAGGGCTGCAGGGGCATTTTCGGCACAGGTACTACAACTATGCATCCCAGGTACGTTTCTATATACAAAAATGTTCCCTAACCAAAATTAGAATACAAATAGTACCCACTGATGCGTCCATTCCTCAATGTGCAGTGTGTTTATAAAGGTCCTTGTTACCAGACACAGAAAAATTCAAATTTCATACTGTTGTATGAAAGGCTTTCAAATGAGCCTTAATAAAAATAAACGGGCATCTTCAATGATGTACATTAATACTCTTATATTCCGCAGTGCACAGCATTATACACCATGCACTGTGAAACTACATCATGAACTAGTTTTGTTTTCATGTTGAGGAATATAGAATCATCCAGCAGTTTGGGTATCAAGTACTGTTCTGTATTCTAATTGTGGCTAAGGTACATTTCTGTATACAGAAACGTACCAAAGAAACCACAGACTGATACATTGTATCTGATTGGGTTCAGCATGTAGTACCGCTGAAGGGGTCACTGGCTTCACAGGTACTACAGATATGTACCCCAGGTCAAAATACAGAAACGTAGCCGGTACCCTACAAGGCGGACGAGTCCATATTCCGCAACCGAAAACCGAAACAGCATTTAGTAGTTCCTGTTCACCTGACTGCGAGTGGTATTGTGCTTCGTGAAATATATCTTTTTGTGCATGGTCAATCATATGCATCTAATACAATAGTATGACAGTTCCGATCAAGATATGACTCAGTGCGGAATTAAATCGTCCTAGGGTACGTTTCTATATTTTGATTTCATCCAGGGTACACATCTGTAGTACCCCTTCAGCTGCAGTATCTGTGCCAACCACAACACCTTCATGCCCAGTGGACGACAGGTTCCAGCCACATGGGGAGATTGCCTGACATGAAACACACTATATCATACTATCAAACAGCCAGCAATAAAGCAAAAGCTAAAGGATTTTAAAATTGTTCCACATTCCCACACCAAGAGAGGAAATAGATGTCAGATTGATTGTGGACAAATAGAGAAAACACTATAAATAACATGCTGACAAATGTTGGGCAATTTTCTACAGGCTGCCAGTTTGAAGCAATTATTGGAGAGAAACTGGGAGCTTTGTTTAGATGGGTTTGGGAGAGGTCAGTAGCCTTACTGCCAAATGTTGGCTCAAATGGGCAGGGGTCAAAGCAAATATTGTGGCCTGCTGAAACCCAGCAGGAGCAGCCATGTTGAATTTTGCAGTCATGTGCTGTGTTTTGCATGTGGTTCCAAACTGTGCCTGAAGCAGACGCGCAGCGAGGCCATCACTGGGCAAGCAACTCACCAAGTTTGTAAGGTAAACAGCCAGCAGTCCCCGCCTAAAAAAGAAACACCAAAAAATCACGTCAGATCAGCAAATAAAACGTCCCCAGTATTTGTGAACATGTCTTCATCATTGTCCACAAAGCATGGGGCACAAGGTCGATCTGTGGACAGAGGGACAATGACAGGATGCAGTACATGACGCAACAGCCCACAGACTACAAGGGACACAGCAAATCAACATTAAATGTACAAACAATCACACAACCGATGCTAATTGAATTTCGACAGATAAGTTGATATAGTGTTGTAATCGTGACAATCAGCCCCCACGCCCTTCTCCCCTGCTAGCTTGTCACACATTCATGAAATAACTGCCGGGAAGTGTGTAATTTGCCCACAAAAACAAGTACCTGCCACGAGATTCCAGGTAAAGCCTGGCAAACACCTCTCCCTCCCTCTACTGACAACACTATATTTAACCAGAGTTTTATTTACATCCTTCATTCTAGCCATATCAAACAAATTCTGATGCTTGCAAATCAAGAACATACAAAATTGCTCAGATACTTGTATTTTTTCCCCCAAAAAGTGAAAGAGGCATTCATACAACAGGGAAAGTGCTCAATCAATGGGTAGCATCTCTTTCCCCCTTCCACTCATTCCTGGCCAAAATTGCCAAGTTGAGATCTTGATGGAAGAAAGTTGATCATGTTCATATCAGAAATCAGGTTCTCTGTCAGTCAGGATTTTCATAATCCCTTCAAACAAAACATAGCTATTCAGATGTGGTCTTGTGGTGACAATGTGTCTACTAGCCCCCCAAAAGAAGTTTCTGTTTTTTTTACAGAAAAAGCCCTGGCCTTGAAACAAAATTCCATTTGAAAAACAGGTGGACATTGATGTGATTGATACAGAAAATAGACGGCTATTTTTGCCCCACAAGTATTTCCTAAAAAACAAAGTCCTTCAAATAATATGAAAGGCAGTGATGAGATCATGTCTTTGTTGCTGGGTATGATGAATGCCTGGAATGGACAGGCTGCGAGGACGACGTGACGAGTCAGTGTGTCTCCAGTCCTGGAGGATGCATACAACACTCCACCACATACAGTGATTAAACCAAGACACTTGATGCCTATGTAAGGACAAGTTAATGCTTGATGAAGTTTATATTCCCTGATTAACAACACCAGTCATTGTACTGATTCATAGGAACTGAAGTGTAAATTTTGTCAGATGACACTTGTCATTACAGGAAGATAATAATATAAACAGATACAGAATACAGAAAGCTTACTATACTACTCATCAAAAGTTTAGACTCACTTAAAGAACTCACTATATGTTATGTATATATGTATGGTTACATTGAAGATGAGTTTCTCCACTAACTTGGGGGAACCAACTGAAAACCTTATGCAGATGAATTGCATGAGAATCATGCATCAAATTGCTGTAAAGCCTGTGCAAATATCATGCATGTGAACAGCTGCATTTTGGTGTACAGTTTTGTTACTAATTCATCAATTTTCACTGAGTTTCATCATTTATTGAACTCATGACAATAATCTGTTCAATGTTACAAATGTGTTTTTCAATACATCAGTTCATGTGTAAACAGTACCTTTAAACAGTATGGAAAGTTTTCAAAATTTATTTTAGAACAGTTGACTTAAGTAAATGGCTACATTTACACTAGTGTGTCTAAACTTTTGATGGGGAGTATATATTTCAGGAACTATTTTCTACGGGCATGCCTGATTGAATCTCTGATATACAAGACCACATTATCATCAAATGTTTCCTTCCTGCTCCAGCTGATCCTATTCCACATAGCTGGACAATTTTTTTATTTTCTATTTTCCTTTCCCCAATCAATATCACGTAGACTATAATCAAGTGACCGCTTTCAGTCTTGGATTTGGGCTTGACGAGTTGTCATGGGGGTTGGAGGGTTTGGTCATATTGGGCTAGAAGAGTTGTCATGGGTTTAGAAGGATTGTCATGGGTTTAGAAGGATTGTCATGGGTTAAGAAAGGTTGTCATGGGTTTAGAAGGGTTGTCATTGGTTTAGAAGAGCTGTCATGGGTTTAGAGTGAGTGAGTTTAGTTTTAAGCTGCACTCAGCAATATTCCAGCTATATGGCGCGGTCTGTAAATAATCGAGTATGGACCGGACAATCCAGTGATCAACAGCATAAGCATCGATCTGCACAAATGGGAACCGATGACATGTGTCAACCAAGTCAGCGAGCTGACCACCCGATCCCGTTAGTCGCCTCTTACGACAAGCATAGTGGCCTTTTGTGGCAAGCATGGGTTACTGAAGACCTATTCTACCCCAGATCTTCACGGGTCCATGGGTTTAGGAGGGTTGTCATGGGTTTAGAAGGGCTGTCATGGGTTTAGAAGAGTTGTCATGGGTTTAGAAGAGTTGTCATGGGGGTTGGAGGGTTTGGTATTATTGGGCTAGAAGAATTGTCATGGGTTTAGAAGGGTTGTCATGGGTTTAGAAGGGCTGTCATGGGTTTAGAAGGGTTGTCATGAGTTTAGAAGAGTTGTCATGGGTTTAGAAGGTTTGTCATGGGTTTAGAAGGGTTGTCATGAGAGTTAGATGGGTGGCTATGGTTGGAGGGTTTGGTTACATGGAGCTAGAAGAGTTGTAATAAGGTTAGGAGAGGTGGTCATGGGGGTTAGAGAGATGGTCATGAGGTTAGGAGGGTAGTAATGGGGTTGTCATGGGATTAAGTGGGTCGTCACGGGTTAGAGAGGTGGTCATGGGCTTAGAGAGGTTGTCATGGGGGTTAGAGAGGTGGCCATGGGGGTTAAAGAGGTGGTCATGGGGTTAGGTGGGTTGTCATGGGGTTAGAGAGGTGGTCAAGGGGGTTAGAGAGGTTGCCATGGGATAAGGAAAGTTGTCATGGGGTTAGAGAGGTGGTCATGGGGATAAGGAAGGTTGTCATGGGGTTAGAGTGGTGGTCAAGGGGGTTAGAGAGGCTGTCATGGGATAAGGAAGGTTGTCATGGGGTTAGAGAAGTTGTCATGGGGTTAGAGAGGTGGTCATGGGGGTTAGAGAGGTTGTCATGGGGGTTAGAGAGGTTGTCATGGGGTTAGGTTGGTTTTCATGGGGGTTAGAGAGGTGGCCATGGGGTTAGAAAGGTTGTCATGGGGGTTTGAGAGGTGGTAATGGGGTTGGACAGGTTGTCATGGGGGTTAAAGAGGTTGTCATTAGGGTTAGAGAGGTGGTCATGGGGGTTAGAGAGGTGGTCATGGGGGTTAGAGAGTTGGTCATGGGGGTTAGAGAGGTTGAGGTGGTCATGGGGTTAGGTGGGTTGTCATGGGGGTTAGGTGGTCATGTTGTCAGAGAGGTTGGGGGTTAGACACATGGTCATGGGGGTTGAGAGGTTGTCATGGGGGTTAAAGAGGTGGTCATGGGGTTAGGTGGGGGGTTAGGTGTCATGGGGTTTAGAGAGGGGTTAGACAAGGGGGTTAGAGAGGTTGCCATGGGATAAGGAAAGTTGTCATGGGGTTAGAAAAGTTGTCATGGGGTTAGAGAGGTGGTCATGGGGGTTAGAGAGGTGGTCATGGGGGTTAGAGAGGGTCATGGGTCATGGGATAAGGAAGGTGGTCATGGGGTTAGAGAAGTGGTCATGGGGGTTAGAGAGGTGGTCATGGGGGGTTAGAGGGTTAGAGAGGTGGTCATGGGGGTTAGAGAGGTTGTCATGGGATCATGGGGTCATAGGGTTAGAGATGGGGGTTAGAGAGGTGGTCATGGGGGGTTAGAGAGGTTATCATGGGGGTTAGAGAGGTTGGTCATGGGGGTTAGAGAGGTTGTCATGGGGTTAGAGAGGCTCATGGGGGTTAGAGAGGTTGTCATGGGGGTTAGAGAGGTGGTCATGGGGGTAGGAGAGGTGGTCATGGGGGTTAGAGAGGTGGTCATGGGGTTAGAGAGGTTGTCATGGGGGTTAGAGAGGTGGTCATGGGGGTTAGGAGAGGTTGGGGTGTCAGGGGGTTAGGAGTTGGTCATGGGGGGTAGACAGGTGGTCATGGGGGTTAGAGAGGTTGTCATGGGGGTTAGAGGGTTAGGGTTAGAGAGGTGGTCATGGGGGTTAGAGAGGTTGTCATGGGGGTTTGAGAGATGGTCATGGGGGTTAGAGAGGTGGTCATGGGGGGTTAGAGAGGTGGTCATGGGGGTTAGGGACAGGTTGTCATGGGGGTTAAAGAGGTTGTCATTGGGGGAGAGGTTGTCAGAGAGAGGTGGTCATGGGGTTTGAGAGGTGGTCATGGGGGTTTGAGGGGGTTTGAGAGGTGGTAATGGGGTTAGACAGGTTGTCATGGGGGTTAGAGAGGTGGTCATGGGGGTTAGGTGGGTTGTCATTGGGGGTTAGACATGTGGTCATGGGGGGTTAGAGAGGTTGTCATGGGGTTAGAGAGGTGGTCATGGGGGTTAGAGAGATGGTCATGGGGGTTAGAGAGGTTGTAATGGGGGTTAGAGAGGTGGTAATGGGGGTTAGAGAGGTGGTCATGGGGTTAGGTGGGTTGTCATGGGGGGGTTAGAGAGGTGGTCATGGGGGTTGTCATGGGGGTTAGAGAAATGGTCATGGGGGTTAGAGAGGCGGTCATGAGGTTAGGTGGGTTGTCATGGGGGTTAGACAGGGGGTCATGGGGTTGTCATGAGGGGTTAGAGAGGTGGTCATGGGGTTAGGTGGGTTGTCAAGGGGGGTTAGAGAGGTGGTCATGGGGGTTAGAGAGGTGGTCATGGGGGTTAGAGAGGTGGTCATGGGGTTAAGTGGGTTGTCATGGGGGGTTAGACACGTGGTCAGTGGGCTTAGAGAGGTGGTAATGAGGTTAGGTGGGATGTCCTGTGGGTTATTCAAGTCATGGGGTTTATAGGAGTGATTGATGTCGGAGCTAGCATGTCAAGGGAGAGTAAATAATAACAATCTGTCACACTGTATGTAGAGCACCGTGAGCCACATTCAGGCTATTCAAACCAACACAAACAGATGTATACACTAAAAGATATACTAATGTTACAATGGTGGCACATGCTA